TTCCTTCATAATCCTCCAGTTTTTTACCTAGAGAATTTTTGTTTTTTTTTTTTTGGTTTTTCTCTGGTACCGGGAACCGAACTCATGACCTTGCGCTTTCCAGGCAGGCGCTTTTGCCGCTGAGCTAAATCCCCAGCCCCCCTAGAGAATTTTTGAACACTTTCTTAGTACATGTTTACTACATGTGACATTAACATTCACCTTAGGCAGTAGACACATGTACTTCACGTACCTGGATTCTTTTTATTCCCTTCCTCTCCCCACCCATCTCCCTCCCTCCCTTCTAAATCTTTCCCCATTTGCATTACTGTTGTCATTTTCAGTTCTTGTTTGAGTTCTGTAAGTACTGTGTGCTCATGTAATACTCGTTAACTATATGAACCTGGGCAGGCGATACCACTCTGAATATTACTCCTTCATATTTAGGATAGCAATAATATTAATATCTCCCTATGACATATAATGTACTACATCTATGAGGCACATAGTAAATGCTCAATGAATGTTATCTATTATTGTTTACTAACATAGGGAATGAATAACAGATTAACAGAATAAAGGTAACTGAACATATACACAAAATGAATCAGAGATATCTTTGAGATATCCATGCAGAAATGTCCAATAGTATGCCCTATATATAAGTTGTCCTACATATGGATTTGTCCATGTGGGTCCTATATATGGATTTATTAATAATGGCATATATAAATGGATTTATCCATAATAAGTTCTATTGAAGCATCATGAGAGGTGTTAAAGAGTGAAAGGTCCTAGTGTCAAAGATGAAGTCCTGAGAAAACATCATAGAATACATATGGACAATTAATTAAGAAGGAATCAGAAAGATCAGGGAAAGATGCAGAAAATGAATGGCATGAAAGTTAGGGCAGAAGCTGTGAGAAGATAACAGGAGTCCGTGAAACCAACTGTGGAACAAGACAAGATAGATTTAAGTCAGTGTTAGAACTGTCCTCATGGCCGTCATTCAAGTACCCCTTTGGCGCGAGAAAGAATCACCAGCAAGTGTGTATGGTGTGAGGAGAAAGTTTGGAAGGAGAACCGCTGAGGTCAAACTTCTTGAGAGAGCAGGGCTGAGAAAAGAATGAGGATGGTTGCTCTTGCAAATATTACTGGTCTCTTGCCATGGAAAAATCAACCTAAGTTAGCCACTAAACATAAAGTAAACACACCAGTTTTACATTTCATAATATATTTGTACAACTGATAAAACCCTGGCAAAAATGTGTGTGTGTGTGTGTGCGTACGCGTGTGCACTTCCCACTGCTCTTCCGCATTTGAATGCTCAGCTCACCTCTTGCGGTAGGCTTTCACCTGAGTGTGATGCGTAAAAGCTGATCAAATTTACATTCAGTAGATAGATCAGCCTTAGGATGGCTGATCAGTCAAAAAGCTGAGGGAATTAAGCATGGTGGGTAACACTTTGGCTCTCATTTACCTGTCAACAAGGTACCATTTGTGTATCTAAGATGTGAAGGACAAAGGGATTCAAAGAGGTCTTAGAACATGGACATGCCACTAATTGATGCGTGTATACTGTCAGTACAAACCTGCCTTTGTATTAAAAATAAACCTAAATTAGTATCATTCTTTGAACCGCCTTCATTTGCAAGGTATGCAGTGCAAGGAACAGAAGGTGGACTGCCAGATTCCAGTGTAGAATGTCTAACAGAGAATCCTATTTTCATCCTTATAGGCCAGCAGGAATCTGAAGAGATCATTGGTAAGGTACATTATACTGCATGAATAGGCACAAATGTCCTTTTACCTGTTAGGCGCAGATTGTAATACAGACTTTCTGGCTCTTGAACAAGGGACAAACTGAACAATGAAAAACATGTTCTATTGTCATTATTCACTCACCCTTTTCTGGTCTAAGTTTAAGTAAACTTTTATTAATCAGGAAGCCATCAGTAGTAGACTCAGGCTGTCAGAGTTGGGCCACATATTATTTGGCATGGAGGATATGGACTGTGGGGCTCGTCTGGAGTTGTTAATTAGCAGGGTGATGAAGCCATAAAGCTGAGTTGTGGGGAGTCCAAGTTAGAGGGGATATGAAAAGCTAGAGCGAGAGTCAACCTGGACAGGACAGGAAGATCCAGGGAGCTGAGACGGACTGGCAGAGGAAGAGCCAGTGGAACTGGGAGGAACTTATGCTGAAGAAAAAATTTAGAGAGAGGGGAAGATGTTCAATCACCAGTGGTCAGTATAAGAAAGATAGAATTCTTGGGAGACATAGTTAGTTTTTGCTTTACTTGCGAATTTGTGGCGATGCTCCACATGAATATACTTAATGATCTTCTATAAAGATATTCATAAAAAGCATTCATATATATATGTTTTCATCATGGGTATATTTTATTAGATAATGAATATTTAATATCTGTTCACTCTAATCTTCCACTTAAAAAAGCTAAAAGGCTTTCAAGACAAGTGAACAGTTTTATATTTATTTTTCCTGGAGTTGTGTACATTTATAATGCTCAGAAATACCCTCTTTTATATAACTTATTTTGTAATTGAAGAAGAAAGCAAACTTTTTAAATTTCTGCTTTCCCTAAATTCATGTGTCTCCTTAACTAAGGGTGTTTATGACATATTTTATAGTCAGCTACAATATCCAAAGCATTAAAATCAGTGACTATGGTTAGGATTTATTTTCTAACTTTGATGCCGGTAGAATTTTACAAAATGATTAGTATATTTGAAGAACGATGAATCAGCTTCCAAATTTATGACAGATCTTACATAAGTAATCAGCTTAAACAAAAATAGCATTTATTTTAAAACACACTCCTTTGAGTGTGTGTGACGGTCTGCTTTACACCTCCTCATGTGAAAGCTAAAAGCAAACTATGAATTGTCAGAAAACGAAAACAGTGTAACCCAGAAGCAGTAAAATAAAAAGAGACAATAGGAAGCCAAACTAAAAAAGCAGAGAGAGAAAAAAAACAGCCGACTTCTTTTAAGAAAAACATAGTGTAACATGAGACAGCACTCTAACCTGATAATCATTTTTCCCAACTCTTAAACGGGGAAGGTGTTGTCAACTACATCTCCTTCAGAGATCAGAGTGCACTCTATAAGTCTTTAGAAAGTGCTTCTTAAAATAAATCTAATAACTTGTGAACCTACTTCCAGAAAAAAATGATGAGGATTTTCATGCATACACGTTGAAAACTACCTTCATTAAATATCACGATGCTCTTGAAGAATAAAGGGCTCCTTTAGGGAATATGAGATTTGCAGGAAAATAATTCAAGATTCGATTCAGATCTTACTGGTGCTGTATGAGTTAATGGCTATACAATATACAAATGCTTAATACACTTAAGAATAGGAGGATGAATGTAGAGATACACTGTGAAAAGCATTTCAAATGTAGCTTAGATTAAATTCCATAAGTTAAATTGTAATATATTATAAAATATATTTGATAAAATTGAATGCTGATATTACAATAACTATCCATAAAAGAACTGCAGATTTTATTTTATTTTACTCTACTTTACTTTAATTATTTTATTTTATTTCATTTTATTTTTGAGACAAGGTCTTGTATGTAGTTCAGGCTGGCCTTGAAATCACTATACAGCCCAGCTGGGCTCAAATTTGCAGCGATACTCCTGTCTCAGCTTCCAGAGTGCTGGGATCACAGTTGTTTGCCACCATGCCCACCTCCAGATTTCTACTCTAAAATCTCCAACTTAGTCATATATATATATTACTTTTTTGATCATTCATAGTTTAATCTTATAGTGTATTTATTACTTTTTAAATCATTTATAAGAAAATATTGATTCTAAAAACATCTGGGCTACGTTGGGGAAAGGGTATGAACAGTAGAATCCTTTAGATACTGCTATCGCTTTGTTTTAATTTTGAATTTATTTTATGTCCATTACACATTGTGAGAATATGTAGCATTGGTTGTCGTGAGAATGATAGAATTTAAGTCACACTACCTGTACTTAAATTCCAACTTTACCAATTTACTTGCTAAGATAATTTGTCAAGTAGCTGAAATTCTCTCTGCTTCAGTATTCTTATTTGAAAAGAAGGACTACACAGTACTTTCTCACTCACTGGGGTTTTTATGAAGACTAACATGATGTATTAAAGCATATAGTGTAGTAACTACTCAATGATCTTGTCTTGCTTACATTCTATAACTTCAGCAGACGGTTATAACAGAAACATGGAAGATTGTGAAGTGAAGTAGTTCCTAATTTGCTCCTGATGTCCTATCCAAGAGTCATTTGTCAATCTATCCAGAAGAACAATTTCTTCTTTTCATTAACTTTGCTTGATCACTGCACATTGTATCCGTGTATAGAATTACACATTGTACGACTGTCAACGTTAAAATCTCCATTGGTGGGTACAGGAATAAGTTAGGATTTGAAAGAAGGAAAATTTGTTGTTTTACGTTATTTAAAACACACACTGACAAATTATAACTGTATGTACTTAAGTGTGCAAAGTGATGCTATTTTTTATTATGGGTTTTGTGGGTGTCACATAGTAATTATGGGCTGCATGCCCATACATGCATACATGTGCGTGTACGTGCATATAATGTGCAATTCTCTACATAGGACAACATGAGGAAAGATTTAAGTGGCTTTTCTCACACAACACAGAAATGAAAGCAGATTTCAAGATCTCATAGTTAAAATTTAAGTTGTCTTTTGATAATGTAAATTGTCATTTAGGAAAAGAAAATGGTTCATGGTTAGTCAACAAATTGATGCCATGCAGTATAAATTTTTATATCTGAGAAATATTTTAGGATCAGGAAACAAATATAGACTACTACTTAATGGTACTATGTCTTAGTATTAATTTGTCCACTTTATTAACCTATAAAATGGCAATATTTACTGCTCTGGTTTTCATCTTATAAATTGACCTAGCCTTGGCATGATATACCTGCCAGAAAATGTAAATTCAAAGGTGTCTCTCACTTTCTCTTTCAGGGAAATCTCGAGGAGTTTGACACTTTTCATCCTCCAGCCATTAATCATCCTGTGGGGGTAGACACTACACTGGTAAGTCCCACTCAGTCTAACTTTTCTAAATTTTAAAGTTTTTAATACACTCTATGATATGATTGTAATAGAAAGCAAAAATTAAAGAATTGTCAATGTTACCTTGCGGCTAGCTACAAAGTTCTCATTTGTGGTAGGTATTAACCTCAGGGCCTTCACCTGCAGTTTCAACCCCTTTGTTTTGGTATCGGGAATGGAACTCAGGACCTCACGCTTGCCAGGTGGTTGCTGTGCCTCTGAGCTACATCCCTGGTCCCATCTCCAGCCCATTTTATTCTTAATTTCAGACAGGATCTTCTTAAGTTACTAGGTTGTTCAGGCTGGGCTCAGACTTACTATCCTAAGTCCTCTTAATGCAGCCTCACAGATTTCTGGGACTACAAACATGTGTCACCATATCCAGTTGAGAATGATTTTTTTCAAAATAGAAAATCCATGATATCATGGTTTTGCTTTCATTTTTAATTATTGCAGCAATAGTAGTGTTATTTAAACTTGAAGTGATACAATTAAAATTATATACTGGAAAGGAAACCAGCAATTATGTAGTTCTACAATTGTGTTAGTATTGTTTATTGCTGTATAACGTTCATTGAATCCCTGGTTCACAAGCAACAATTAAGTGAACATCCCTGCAGTGATTCGAAGCTAATAAATCCTCTTATTTGTAAAACATAATTATTATTTTGCATGTTACATTTAAATTTTAATGTTAAACACTAATTATACTTGAATTCCATGCCATAAACTTAAATATATAATTTTATTTCTTGCATGTATTATTTCTCTGTTATCTGTAAGCAGCATTGCTATCTCCCGGTATCATATTTCTCAACAATCCACGTCCTCACAAACCAACGCAATTTCTCTCTCTTTGAAGTACATACACAGGGGGCTGGGGACTTAGCTTAGCGGCACAGTGCCTGCCTGGCAAGCGCGAGGTCGTGAGTTCGATTCCTGGTATCAGAAAACAAACAAACAACAAAAAAAAAAAAAAAAAAAAATGAAGTACATACACACATGTACCTACACATACACACATACACAGGCTCCTTAAAATAGTGTCAGTATCACTTGCAGAGCACGATTAATTTACACTTTTCAAATCAATCGCCATGTCTGAGCCCCTGCTCACCCTCACTTCTATAACTAGAAATCTTTGCAGGAACACCCCATGAGGTAAAAATCCTAAATATGCATTGAAGGATATGTTCACTGTTCATCATATTGCATGAATTTAGTTTTATTTATACATATAATAACAAAAATATAAAACTAAACCAATAGAAATTTTTAAAGATAAAATGAAAATAAGTACATATAGAGGTTATATCAGATTTTGAGAATCACAGTTCTATATATCCTATGCTTCTTTCTAACTTATAGGAGTGATTTTGAGCATTCAGATTCCTCAGAACTTTGCTGTGAGCATTAGATTGAGTTGATATGTTGCATGTTGCAAAGCAGCAATCTGCTGTTGAAATTGTGCATAAAAATGTGCACGTGGATGTGGTTGATGTGGACAAGATTGTCTTAAGAGTTTGAAGCAGCTCAGAGCAAAAGTTGAGGGAGTAAGAGAATTTCAGAGGCTTCTATAGTGATTCAAAGAGCCAAATAATTAGGACAAATACCTTGTATCAAGAGGAGCATCTCCTCAGACACCTTTCCAAGTTAGTGTCTGTTGGTTCTTCCTATTTGTCATGACTGGATGGTGGAGGCCCGTAGGAATGGACAAGCTTACTAGATGTGATGGTTTGCTGTATGCTTCCTCAGTGAGACCTTCAAGGCAAACAATCAGATGTTATACTCTAAGGAGAAGGAAGGAAGCCTGAATTACTACAGTAAGGTTCGGCATGTGTGAACCAAATATTCTGTATGAACTGTTCTCACATAAAGGATAGTTGTCTTTGACAGTCAAGAGCGGGCAGGTGACATATGCCTCTACTCTCAACACTCTGGGAGTTTGAGCTAGGAGGATTGCCAGCCAAAACCCAGCCTGGGGAATTTAGTGACTTAGGGAGAACTTGTCAGTCAGTCAGTTGATGGATAGATGGCTGGGGGTGTAGCTCGCTGCAAAGGTTCTGGGTTCAGTCTCCAACACCACAAAAGAGAAAAGGTAAAGAGCCCCATCCCTATTCCTTACAACAGTGTCTCACAGTTAGTGAGTCAAACCAACATCAGATCTGAAGCTGGGGAAGTGGAATGTTAAACAACAAATTCAGGACATTCCCAGCGAGAAAATTTTATTAATTCTTTAATGTAAAAATGCTGATAATTACTGATTCTGCTTATGTTAAACTTCCTCTAATTCAAAACATAACATTTCAGAGCAGATTTGCAATCTATTTAAATATTCTGATATATGAGACATAATTTTCCATCTCTTGTCTTAAAAAATACTGTACTTTCATGATCTACAAGGATATTGTGCCTACACCCTTCCTTTAATTTAGATAGATGAATGAATGAATGAATGAAATGAAGATCTCTTGGCATAACTTTTTGATTTATTATTAATAATAGTGTTCATCACGGCCTTCTTGTTGATAAAAATCAAATGCAGGCATACCCTGGAAATAAGTTTCTACCTCACCCAGTTTGTACACACATTGCTTATCTTTAAAAAATATTTGCAATGAGCTTGTCCATCCATGGGTGTTTCTCTGTCCCTGACTTTCCTCAAGAGAAAGAAAGGACAGGCAGATTGATCAAGTTACTCTTTCTTTTGTGATAGAATTTTCCTGTTCTGTTTTTTCAAAGCTGTGCAAGTTGCCTGCTGCTTCCCCTACACAACAACCCTAAATAGAGGGAAGTTAGTTTGCCATCTCTCTGAAACCTGAGGAAGATTTAAGCAGCTTTGTACACAAGGTTCAAGTTTGCTGTTGAAAAATTCAAAAGAACACACACACAGCCCAAAACTCAGAATGAGTAGGATGTGGGTGTCATGAGCTGATTAGTTTGTCTTCCCCCTCAATAATCCATGTTTACTGATCAGGGCAAAGGCCTTATTGATCAAAACTTCAAGTGTTTCTCAACTGGAATTTCCTTAATGGATGGATAAACCATGTGTGCTGCCTTCTTTACCAGCCCAAAACCCATGCCTTTCCTACATTTAACCTTTCCTTTCCATGATTCTTACCCTTCCCAGATATCTCTTCCAGAAGTTAGCATTCACAGGAGCACTTGCTCAGTGTTTTTTGTGTTAATAACTTCTATGGTTGAACTCGTCTGCTCTTCATTTCTAGCTCAGGACACTGAAATCAGTTCCTCCTCCTGACGTCTCCTTCCTGAGAAACAATGAACACATCTATCTGGTAACACATTAGTTCTTAATCCCTGACATATTAAGGCCAAACTAACAGTGATTTCCCACAGACCTTTTGTTTCTGTCCTTCCCATTCCCAGGGATTGAAGGGCTTTCTACCCAGTTTCCCAGAAAGAAATCTGGAAAGTGTCTTCAACTCCTCTCAGACTTTCTCCCTCTCCTTATCAATTCACTGATGGAGGCTTGTCAGTCCCACAGCTAGGCAGATGGGAAATGTAAAGGAATTTTAAAAATGTAACCCAATCGCTTTCTAAACTGTGTTTGAGTTGCTTCAGTGGAAACATATCCCGCTAATCTGAAGGAAAAAGAAAACAGTTAATTCACCCCCATGGAGGAGGTAGTACTGAACTATTATACCACTTGTTTGGTGTATTTTTGTTGTAAACTTTAGTCTCTAATATTTTAACTTCAGTGTTTTATAACATGTATATATGGTTGATGCTCTATAACCGTCAATAACAGATTGACAATATTAAGAAACAAAGATTCCATGTGTCCCATCTGAAAACATGCAAACTTCTTGTCATTCCACTGTCAGCAGAACAGTGAACAACTATTTACATGGGACACACATTGTACTATGTGTTACAAGGGATGGGGGGCAGTGCGTAGTTTCAAACTCATACTGCTCAATTTTAGATACAGGATGTGAATATCCATGCATTGTGGATCTCCAAGAGGTCTTAGAAGCAATACCAAGGGTAATAACTATCAATCGTATAATTATCTTCACAAGACCGTTATGGCATATCCCATAAGCCTGACAACTTTACTGTTGAAAATTTTCCAGTATATGATTTCAGTGACAATAAAGTTCTGTCTTGTAAGCTCATAACAATTACTTCCACCTGTAATGATCAAATATGTGTACTCTCGAACCCTCTTGAATATAATAGCTCACTTTACATACTGTACTCAAATTAACAACACATTAGTCATGTTTTGACATTTCTGTACACAAGCTCAGCATGACCACAACATTTGAATTCTGCGTATGTACACTTTCATGGCGCTGGGCCATATCTGTGAATTAGGAAACTTTTGTTTTCCCTACAGCTCGGAGAAAGTCAAATCCTATTCCTCTTTTCTTCCAGATTTAATAGTCATGTTTTTTATCTCACACAACTGTTTCGGACATAATACTGAAAGTTCCTATTTGTTTATTCGATATATTTTTAAAGACTGCAAGAGGAAATTTTGATTATCTTCGGGTGTCTGATACAATAAAATTGATCATATTATATTTCCCTTCCGTTTATTTATAGAAGACTTTTTCCGCCAAGGGCAATGTTTTCAGGAACCTGATTCTTTATTCCTATCAACGACCACAGCACACTGAATTAATAGAAGGAATTACCCTCTTTTATTTATTCTACCAAGGCCAAGTCCCCAGAGGAACGCTTCATTGCTGCAGCCGGTAGATTCCCTGGTTTGCTGGCTGGCTTTAATGGGATGCTAAAATCAATTGGAGCTATTTCTCTGTCACCTCAGAAGCACTATAGGTTTTGCGGTGCGTTGCAATTTCATATCCTCGCGTCTTTTCTGTAAAAAAAAAATTGACATCTCTAAACCAAGTGTCTTCCTTGCTCGTGGGACCACAGCTTCCTTTTTCTGAGGAAACAGTTCTTGTAAACGTGTGAGGTGCCTGGAATCCAAGCCCACCGCAGTGGTTGCA